GCGGTCCCCAAAAGGAAAAACCTCCCAAAAAAAAAAAAAAAAAAAAAAAAAAAAAAAAAAAGAAATGCAGAACCCCAGGACCCAGCCTGCCCGGCTGCATCGGAATCTGCATTTTTTCAAAAAAATGATTTTATTTAACTTATTTATTTTAATTTGACCAGAGAGGGACAGAGAGAGAGATTGAGGGAAAGTGAGAAAGCAAGCCACCAGGTCCGAGACTCGAACCATGGTCAGCCATGTGGGAGTCCAGCACCCTTAACCACCATGCCACCTGCCAGCCCATGGCTTTTAAAAGCTCCTCAGGTGACTCGGATCATCAGGTTTGCAAAGCACTGCTTCTCAAACTCGGCTGTCCTTGGACTCCCCTGGGGACTCTAAGCTGCTCTCGTGCCTGGACACCTGCCTCGGTCATCGTCACTGTGAGGTGATGATTCTAGGGTGCAGCTCAGACGTCAGCGTTAGGAAAGCTTGCCAGGGAGTCGCGAAGCCCGGCCGCTCTGGGGAACCATGGGCTAGCTGTAGGTATTTACGCAGAAGCCCCACCCCCACCCCAGCACACACGCCAAACGGCTCAGGCTGTCTGGGCCAGGGCCTAAGCGGATGCCCCCGGCTAGTGGAAGGCATGGTTGGAGTGAGCTGAGTGAGTTTGGTGAGCTGAGAAAGGTTGTCGTCTCTGGCCGGGGTGCTGGGAGAGAGGTGGAGACGGTGTCCAGTGCACATAGGTGTGAAATAACTCACCCGAGACCCCTTGACTGTTCTTGGCAGGCCTGGGCCCTAGGGGCAGGTGTCCGGGTTCCCTCATGGTTGTGCTTTGCTGCTCGAAGTCAGTAGTCCCACCCTGGGTTGGCCTCGTCACTCCCTGGTGGGACCTTGATGTGGTACTTAGCTCTCCTGCTTCCGGTTCCTCACCTGTGGATGAGTATCCACCCCCTCGGACAGTGGAGGGAACAGACCAATGGGTATTTGTGGAGGGCTCACCGCAGGGCCTGGCACACAGCAGAAGCTCGGTGGGTGGACTACTCCTTATTCACCGAGGGGCCCTGGTCCCCGGGACCCTTCGGGCCCATGCTGCCTGCCCAATCACTCCAGCCCAGAACTCCTTCTGCTCGGTGAACCTCGCAGAACCCAGGGAGCAGGCAGGTGCAGCCTGAAAGCTGTCCTCGCCCTGGAATCCAGCTCTTCTTTGTCCTGTTTTGCTGACTTCCAGATTGTTCCAGGCAAGAAAGCCCAGCCCCCACTGCAGAGAGCAGCCTGGAAGACCCCCACTGGGACCCTCTTCAGAGCCCCCAGCTTTCTGAGACTGAACTCTGACCCTCATTCTTCTAGCATGAATTCAGCCTGCCTGAGGGCATGGGGCCCAGCCAGTGGGGCCCCTGGGGGGGCTGAGGTTCTGGCATGCCTCCAGGCACACGTAGCTAAGCTCAGCAGAAATGTCCCAGGCAGGGATGCAGGTCAGTGGCCCGGGAGGAGCTGGCAACATGGGGTCTGCGAAGACAGGAGCCTGCCAGCCGGAGGACAAAGGGGTCTTGGAGAGAAGGCCCAGCCTGAGTTCCTGCCCCTGAGAAACCCACATGAGGAGAGCAGATCCCAGGAATTGGCCACACCCCATAGGCCACTGCAGACAGCTCAGGAGACCCTTTCTGGAGCAGAAAGAAAGGAGTGGCCCAGACAGGGGTCCCTGGTTCAAACCTTTCATTTTAAAGGTGTTTGTCTTAGGGTGTATGCGCTTGCCAGGCAGAAACAGACACAGTGAGAAGGAAAGTGAGAAATCACCCCCCAGGGTGGATGGCCGTGCCACAATTTCTTCTCCTCCATTCTTCCCGGGATCTTGGGTGTGCATGCACACGCGCCCAGCATGATTTTGAAGCCACCAAGTTCAGGACTCGAACTGCAGTCAACCATGTGGGAGTCCAGTGATGGAACTGCTACACCATCTGCTGGTCCTACACCTGATGTTTTTCAAGCCACCGGAGCCAGTATTTGAACCGCACAGTTGCCCGTGTAGGATCCAACTTCATTAAGAGCCGGATCATTAGGCTACGCACCAGTCCCTAAACTTCGTCTGGGAGAGTCTGTCCTCCCTACCAGTCTGTGTATTCTCAGGCCATGTCCTTCCGCCTCTGTAGCCCACACCTGTCCCCCCAAAAACGGGGATAATCTACTCATGGATCTTATATCCAAGAGTCTTTTTGTTGCAGAGATCCAAAGATCAGTTTTTCCAGCCAAAACAAGAAGAGATCCTGAACGGAAGCATGTATGTGCCTGAGCAGGAGCCATGGTCTGCCCCCATCCTTAGCTGTCTAGGCAGGCGCTGTGAGCTCCCAGACCACACGTCACCGCGGTTCCACCTGGAACTCCAAGCCCCTGTCAGCAGACTTCCCACTGCCCGGGGCACAGCTCTACGCAAAGCCAGAGGAACCTCCCCAAATTCGGGCGTTGTGGTGAGCCGCGTTACTTCACACCTCTGTCCTTCACACCTCCAGCCTCTCTCTCTAGCACCAGTGTCTCTGCAAGCGGGTAAACTGACCCCCTTATCCTAGAAGCCTTCCAGAATGTCCTGTCCTATTGCATCATCGAAGTGCATGTTCTGAACGGCTCCATCATTAGTTCCCATGAACCTCACAGGGGTCATTCCAAGGTGGGATTCAGTACCTTCCTCATGAAATCATCTAGCACTGAGTTGGTGGTCTCACCTTCCATGCCATCTCCAAGCTAGAGACACAGCACCCTTTATTCCTGATCCCTCACCTCCAGCATCAGCCACCTGGTACTACTGATTTTACTTTCTAAATATGCCTCAAATCTGATCCTCCACAAGGTAAGTCTTTTTTCTCTCTTGCTTGAACTATTGCAGTAGACTCTTCACTGGTTTTCGTGTGTCTTCTCAATCTCTCCTTCAATTTGTCCTTTTTACAGGCCACCAAAAGGGATCTGTTAAGAATGCAATTCAGGGGGCAAGCAGGTGGCATGGTGGTTGGGGCGTTGGACTCCCACACGGCAGACCATCGATCGAGTCCCAGACTAGAAGCTTGCTTTCTTAATTTTATTCAGTATTGTTATTATCTAATTCATTAAAAAAAAATGCATTCCAGGCCTCGCTATGGTGGTGTGTGCTGCTAAGATGCTGCGTTCCACAGGCTGGGACCACACATGAAGCCCAGTTAGATGCCCGGTCCTACTAAAGACCAGGCACGGTGGCGTGCATCTGCAATCCCAGCATCTCAGGAGGCAGAGGCAGGAGGGTCAGGGGTCAAGGCTGGCCTGGGCAGTACAGCAAGACCATGTCTGAAAGAGCCAGCTGTGGTTCATCGCATCCACCCTCACGTCCTCAACTGCTTGCTGGACAGGGCTGGCCCTACCTGCAGCCCTCACCTCCCTCCTGAACTCCAGGGCCACACCTGCCACTGCCCACTGGGTCCTGCACGTCCCGGACAACTCACACCCAACGCGTCTCCCACAGAACTCACCTCCCACCTGGGTGCTCCCCCAGAGCAGCAAATGAGATGACCAAGTGAGTACCCCAAAATCTGGGCATCCCACATCCCTTCCCTACTCTATGTAATATTACAGGAAATACCCAGGAAAACTTGTCAACCTCCTGGGCCCTACCCATCGTGGGCGAACCCAGTCTTTGAACCCAGGACTGGGGCCTAGGGATCTGAATTTCCAGAAGGGTCCCTGAGCCTGGCTTGAATCCCAAGCTGGCCTTAGGGAACCGCTGTCCTCTAACTCATTCCCTTCTCCTGTCCACTGCCAATGTCCCCGTGGATCGCCTCACTCAGCACAATCGCTCTGTGCCCAGGTGGTATGTTCAAATCCTGATCCATCCTGCAGCAGTGGCGACTACAGAAAACCACCGTTGGACTACAGCCTGCCTCGGCTTCCATGCCCGCCAGTGCCCCCCACCCCCAGGAACACTGCGTTCAAGACCCTTTGTCCTTGCTAGAGTGACTTTCTTTTTAACGAATTATTTATTTAAGTTATTCATTCATTTATTTTAATTTGACCAGAGAAAGAGAGAGAGATACAGAGAGAGAGAGGAAGCGAGAAAGTAAGCCACCAGATTCAGGATTTGAACTGTGGTCGGCCATGTGGGAGTGTCCAGCGCCTTACCCGCTAGAGTGACTTTACCTCTTAGAGCTGTCCGTTCTGAAGGCTCAGCGCAAGCTGATAGAAGCCTGCTGCTCAGATCCGGTCAGACGAGGCGGGGATCTGGCTTTGGGAGGGTCTA